ATCTCCGGTCGAAGACCCTCCTCGCGGCAGATCTTTTACAATATCCTAGGCAAGGGAATGTGATCCACTGTAATACATTATTTTCTTGTCAAGTTCGGCTATAACTTGTGCGGACCGAGTACTCTTTCTTCCAATGGAAGAACTTTGTTTCGAGCTTGGAGCGGCCAACTCTTGATGAACCCATATGTGTTCTCTGCAGCAAATGCGAGTAATGATCAACATAGATACTCCTCGGTCTGCCAGATTCATCAGTGTAGCGCCCTTACAAAGTAGCCTATGGTTCGTTGGAGTCACGTTTCGATGTGGTTGTTTAATTCATGAATAGCCTGAACTTACTCACCGTCGACATCTCGCTCCATACTAAAGTTCATTTAGCTGCCTGGCGTCCTTCTATATTCATAGTGAGCGTAACTTATATATAATTATACATAAATTGTGAATCAAAAAGCCACATAGATTGTCGTCCAGGTCCCCGGTGACCCCCCTCTGATATTCAGGTTCATTTCTTTCGTTTTCTGCCATATGAAAGGGATGGCCCATTCTGTTTGATCAAGCGGGTAGTCCTTACGCGCTCGTGATAATTTACATGCTCAGAAAAGAACCTGGAAGCGGTTTGGCTGCGAAGGCGAGTGATTAGCTGTAACCAGGTAGAGGTCTCTGCATCATTATACATTCCTCGAAGCCAACTACAAAAGACGCGTGATTCATGCCGCGGCAGTAAAGAGTAAGGAGTAATATAATCGCCTTCCAATGCGTGTTCTGTGGCAGAAATTATTGATAGAACATCAAAGGAATTCTCTTGGGAGTTAGGACACTCTTCTTACAGTGGTTACCTCAGCTGCGATTGTGATAATATAATGATATAAAATCTGTTGATCCATCGGGTCTGCTGTCAAATTTCCTAGGAGAGTTCACCTCTAAGCATGGAGAACAAGGTCGAAGAATACAATTTTGAGATCAAAGAAGCTGTCGGTTTCATGTATGAAGATAAAAGGACAAGTCGCAGGTTCCCACAGGTCGCACCTTTAAAGCAAATTCTAGCCCGTCCTTCCTTGTTTCAACTGAACCATTCACTTTTCCATGTTCGTTCGAGTAGTTAAAAGGGTGCCTCCAACGTTGGACGTGTGGTATACAGTGGTGGGAGTTAGGAAGTGCCCGGAATGGGATACATTGATATTTGAAGCTGCAGTCGACGGAGAACTAGGGCATGCCCAGGGCTGCGTTCAAGCAGAACTAATTCGAGGTGGAGGTAGATGGTCGATGTCGAATCCCGGCTCGGACTCGTGGGACTGTATGGCAGCAGAACTTCATGAGGATGCTTTGTGAGTGTTTTTCAGAGCTTCTCATAGAGTATATGTGAAATTCGCATTTCAGCTCGTACTTGAATCTGTGAAAATCTGCATTCGTTCAATGCGGGAAACGAATGATAGGACTTTAATCAATGGAGGGTTCCTGTGCTTGTTATCATCACTGGAGAAAGTTAGGATGTTCGTGCATGGTTTGTTCGGAAAGCTGACTTCACGATCCAGAAACGTAGCCGGTTGGTGTTCTTGATTGATATACTGAAAGTGGCATATCGCTGAGCCAGTTGGCCACCGGTGACGACGATGATAAGCTTCGCTAGATGAGTTGTGACATATCTCTGGGCTATGGTCTTCGCCGTCAGAGTCAGATACATGATAGTATGTCTTTAATATACAACTAACGTGGTGATCTAGCTGGTCTTTTCCAAATCCCATATGAGGTGATATTTTTGCACCTCCCCAGCCTTGAGCTCAACTTCTGTGGAGACTCATGGTCCTATAATGGATATATGGTCATATTTTATGATAGGGATGGTAATAGACGGCTTTGTAAAGCGCATTGTTCATGGAGTTCCAACCTGATTAGACGTGTAATAAAGGATACAGATGTAGAGATGAGCCCTTACAAAAATAACGTCGCCTGTCCTTTAAATAATGTCAGCAATGTGGCAGTTCAAGAGAGGTATAGATGATACTTCGCAAAAGAGAACGATCGCCGCCCTTGTGACTGTCTTGAGGTTTATCCCTGTCGTTCGATATAGAGGCTGATCCTGAGGTTTGAGTCGCAGGAAGGAAATGCCAGGATGGGTGAGGCAGGTGCGCTCTGTTCGCGTGCTACTTGAAGGACGAAGTCGTGTCCATAACCAGTGGGAATAATTCCAAGCCGGTATCTGCCGATCCAGAAGCTGGAACGTCGGTGCTGTACTGAAGAGCAGGGGCTATGTATATGAGAAGCTTAGTTTCCCGGAGGGAGGAGAGCTACGTTGTTGTACAGATGAGAGAGCGAGAGGCAGAGCGACTTTAACCCTTTGGGCTGCGACAAGAAAAGATGAAAAGTGCCGATATTCTGAGATTCATGCAATACGTAAATCGTCGCAGCGTCTGAGGATATTGAATGATTGACCCCCAGGACTGTGGACCCTGTTAAGTTGAAAATAGCGGACAGATATCATTACGCAGTTGGGTATCTGTAAAGACTGTAACATACTTAGAGTTGCCAGCTTTGGAAAATGTTACTGCAGAAGCCGTTGCAGCTCTGAATGGTTAGCACGGGAGCATAAACATGTTTCTATCTCGCTGTAAGGCCTTATTTTGTACAATGAGATACTGATGGGAAGGTACCACAAGTTCAGCAGGGAAGACGTTTGACTGACGATATATTCAGGATTGATTCAGGACCGATGGAGGCTTCCATAATAAATCAGAACGAGATGGCTGCGTGAAGATTTTGGCCCGTTCAAGAGACCAAGTCAGTCGCCCAGAAGATCAAAGATTAGTTCGCGCGGGGTGGAACGTGTCTTGGGAAGTCGGCCCGACCACCGGAGCTATTTTCAGGACCACGTGGATACCTGTTCCCACGATCCCTTCGTTTGTGAACCATGATCATGATTGCGATTGACACATTGCTCTCGCTTTCGCCCGTCGTCGGACCCGTTTATATGGCTCGTGCAGGACCATTTTCTGATACTAATTTGTAGAAGGATGGCCTTCAAAGAGAAACGACGGCAAGGAATGGGCTGAAAGTAGAGTTTTGAAGAGCGAAGGGTACGTGACGTGCCCTGCCGTTGTAGTCGTTTCCTAATCTATTTGATAGTGTAGCGCTTGTTCTTCGAGCTCAGCAACGGTTTGCCCGTACTCCAAGGAAGATTTTTTCGCAGCGAAGTCAGCCTCTCCGCGATGGAGGTTCAGGCGTGGTATGCACCCTTTCGACGACGTATTGATGCCGGTTTGGTGAACATTGCTAGGTCTCCGATACTTCGTGGACTCTGGATGCAAGAAAGCCATGTCGGAAGTGCTTGGCTTGTCCGACGCGAAATCCCATGATCTGAGGCTCTGAGGTATCGACTCTGCTGGGGGTACTTGCGCTCTGGTGTGTAAAGTTTCGCCCAATCATACCATTCTATGCTAACATCTCTAGACTAGCACTGGCTAGGCGGCATTGAGCTCCCCAGACATCCCTTCTGCGTCACGCCAGCGGTGGCAAGTCTTCAAGTTGATGCGACTCGGAGAACCGGATCGAGCATGAGGCAATCAGTCCGTCAACACATGCTTATCGTCAACATCCCATCATTACTTTCTTCCTTCAGCACTTCCACGATGGCGTCGCAAGATCTCGCAGCAACATATCATCCCACATTCAACTCCCCAGATGCCCATGCTGTCTTATGCTCTCTCGACGGCACCCTATACCGTCTCCCACCATCAGTGTTGCGACGGACCACTGCGTTCTTTGCGTCACAGTCTTTCACATTTGAACCAAGCAGTAAGCCCATCCCCATCCACGAACACGACGCCGTCCTCGAGCGGCTCCTGCGGATCATCAGCGGCCTAGCGATCCCTCAGTGGCGCACGTTTGATGACCTCGAAGGTGTGCTCAACCTAGCTGGTACTTGGGGAGCGAGGGGTGCGGTGGACGTCGTACGCGCAGCAATCACTGCGCCGATGTTCTTGATTGAACCGCTGAGGGTGTATGCGATAGCAACACGATTCGGGTGGGAGGAGGAAGCGGAGCTCGCACCGAGGCATACGCTGGAGCTGTCCCTCCACGAGGAACAGTACCAGGAAGTGCTCCGGCGGATCCCGACGCGTGCGCTGGTGAAGCTGTTCAAGTTTCATCGGAAGCGGCGGGATGAGTTCCGCGCAAGTATGCAGGGCGAGGGCGAGGGGAAGTGTGCGGGATGTGGTAAGGCAGTGGATGGGGAGGCGTGGGCTGCGCTTGTATGGAAGATGTTCTGGGAGATGGACGCGAGGCCGTCTGGGGAGAGGCTGTGTTCGTTGGAGATTGAAGAATGGGAGGAGATGGAGAGGTGTTTGGGGGAGAAGTGTGCGGGGTGTGGGGGGGCGGTGTATGAGAGATTGGACGTGCTGGAGAGGGTGAGGAAGTGTTTGGCTGACTTGCCGGATACGGTCTAGAGTTTAGGTGAGCCCAATTTGGTATCCTATTGTTTCGCTAACGGTATATTTTCATAGCATAGGCCCTGGGGTTGCCAAAGGATCGTCCAAGCTTACAGGTGTCCAGTACTTTACTCGTTGCTGGTGCCAAGCCTGAAAACGATCCATAGTTTCTCATCAGCGTGTCGTTGCTTGCTTTTGCAAAAAGGTGACCGTTACGGAACCTATCATACCTTTGTAAACATCATTGATTTACGACGTCTACTAGGATCCGTGATATTGTAAATTTCAATCCTGTATTGTATTCGTATCCTGCACGCCACATGGGACCCTGCTTCCCGTACCAATATCAGTGCCAAAGCTAGTTTGTCGGGAAGCAATTTGTGTGGGATGCCCAGCGAGCCAAGGGATAAGCAATTTTAGTAAGCGCATGGAAGTAGCAGCTCCGGCGGGGCATTCTCAGGCGCTTGTTGATACTTTCCCCTTCGTATGTGTCGATAATAGCTTGCTTGCCTTTATTTGACACTGGCATTCGCAGAACATGACCTTGTGGTACGTATGAGTACGTATCTTCCCAGTTGGCAAGCATTAGTGGTATAACGGTTAGCATGTGTTCTTCGTATCGAAATAACCGAGCACTTGTGGTCGCATTCTGGGTTCGATTCCCGGTTGATGCGATGATGAGCTACTTTCAATCTTTTATTACGTCGTCATTCGTGAGTGTACCCTGTGCTTAAGGATCATGTCATGAATCATGAATCTACATGTTAGTAACTACAGTCACGATGTAGCAGTACCGTTCAGCTTCGAAACCGAGGAAAGGTGCTTGAGGATGAAGTGATGAACAGTACAATTCGGGCACGGGTTGCTTCTTTGAAGCTTGGGCCCAGGGAGCGAGCTCGTTGTGCAATGAAGCCGGGTCTTTCAAGTCACTAGAACTTCGGGTCAGTAGAATCTTTCTCCGTTGACTTCATCTATACCGGTTAACTTGCTAACTTCATCTTGGGCCAAACAGAATTTTGCGTATTCCTGATGCGCAGTATGCCTTTGCCGGGTGCGCTTGGGTAGTCGATCTGGTGTCTCTCAGATTGTAACATCGCCGAACTTCTTCAAGCTGTCAGCCAGCATCTTATTTCTGTATAATAAGTCACCTCAGAACTCGAACACATGTCATTGTCATTCTAGTGCTATGGCGACAAGGACTCTGACTTTCCCAAAGTTCTTGACTCGGAACGCCGGGTCAATTTCGATGTCTCGAAGTCTGATATTTGAGCTGCAGTACGCTATAGTGTCGTACACTTGGCTGATACCGATACTCAGAAGACTTCCTGGTACTAGTATCTGTTTGTTTCGTCTGTTTGACGGGTCATCCACTCGGGCTTCGTCTTGCTATGGCTCGGATCTCGATCTGATTGTCGCATTGTCGATCTCTCCAGCTGCTGATGCCGCCATGTGCTTTTTGAAGTATCTGAGAGTAAATGTGAGTCGAATATTAACACTGGCAGGCGAATACATGCTTAATTGGGTATCCTCAATAAACAACAAATCGACGCATCTTTCTCACGCTCACAGACGAAGATTCGAGTTCTACTAGTTCTCTGTTATGGCGACAAGGACTCCGATATCCCCGAAGTCCTTGATACGCAGCTCCGGTTGGCCAGGTCACATTTCGATGCGGATTCTGGAATTCTGACATTTGCGCTTCACTGCACTGTGCGCTCTGGTGTCCTACATTCGGCTGATACTGATGCCGAAATTAGATCTAATAAGACTACGTCTGTAGTTGACTGCTTATTCATAGCCACATCAAACGGACACGAAGAGACAAAGAACCCTAGTCTATCAATCATCTTCCCTGTGTCACAGGACTTGACGAAAGTCATGTAAAGGAAATAAAGAATCCGAGTTGTCCTTGCTGATGCCATCCAGCACCAAGAATCGGACGCCCAGCGGCTAACTACCTCCATCACATAGAAAGACAGTGATACTATGTAACCAGAGGGGATTTATCAAGTCCCTGGGTAGTGACGAAGCTAGCCCAACTGATATGGATACAAAGTACGGACAGATACTATCGTGTGACTAGATGGTCCGGCTTCCACAAACAACTCGGAGCCTGATCATTGAGCCCAAGCCCTAGCTTGGGCTTTGGTCGCTATCCAGAGCCAGGAATCAAATACTGCAGCGGCCAGCTACCTCAATTGCATCGACACTATGTTACCAGCAAGGATTTATCGAATCCCGGGATAGTGATGAAGCTAGCCCGACTAATACAGATATAAAGCCAGGACAGATCCCACTGACCAGACAGCCCGGCTTTCTCAAACAACAACCTCGATCTCTGAGTAGCGTCCAGGAAGCAGTTCGTGTCCAAATCCCGCCCGCTGAGATACAGTCCGAGATCTCGTCGCTTCGCTTTGCTATTGTGGGTCATCTAAACTGCGGATTTGCCAAGAGAAGCTCGTTAGTACGTATAATAGTCTATAGGGCAACTGTTCACCCTGCATCCGGTTTCAGGTAGGGATGCAGGGCGAGGGGCATGTGATGTGTGCGGGGTGTGGGAGGGCGATGTATGACAGGTTGAACGTGCTCATGCTTGTATTCAAAGATCACATTTGACAACACAGCAGGTTAATCACGTCTATCGTCCAATTTCCCGGGCGATTCTACCTGCAAGCATCTGAGCTGATCGACACATTCTTGTATTGGGAGCGAGGGCAATGATCGTGAGTACTTGAGATGGCACGGCCACGTGGCGTCACTCACTCGTGTATGAACGAGTCGACGTCGAATGTTGAACAGCGTTCCCTTTCATCTCATACGATCCTAGATTCCGATGAAAGTGAATTTTCTCTTCTCTCTATCATATCTATCTCTGATTATTTCTGACAGATCGATCCAAGATCCATGGCCTACATACCAACAAAGAAAACAGATTTTGACGCAAGGCTAGCACCTCTGCTTCCTGATTATTCCCATGCCCCTCCGGATGCCCGAATTATCGAACTCCTACAAACCAATGTTCCGCCCACTCCATTTCAGAGGAACAGTCTCAAAGATACCCTTTCAGAAATGCCTGATCGTGTAGCAGAGCTCGACTCCCTCGTCCTCTCCACCAGATCGCTTCTACGCTACCTGACTAAAGATAGAAACCAAGCCAACGCCAAAAAGATCCTTTCCCCATGCCGTCGACTTCCGACAGAGTTGTTGACAGAGATATGTATACGGTGTTTGCCATTATATGGTGTAGGAGGTAGTGCTTTCGACCCTCGTGCGTCGCCTTGGATATTGTCACAAGTATGCAGGAAATGGAGGGCGGTGGCGATCGCTACCCCAGAACTATGGTCCACTATTTATTTGCCATTCGTGCACGACCGGTTCCTTGATGAAAGCCGCATGTATGAAGTTGCATTTATGCTTGGCATCGTCCTTGATCGAGCCCGTCCTCCCGATCTCGAAGTTGTAATTTGGCTTGAGGACGACAGGTATACACACCCCGTTTTTCCAGTACTTATTTCTAGCGTTCGGTATTGGAAATCCTTAGACATTACGGGAGAGTCCGTCGACCTAGGCTTCCTATCGCCTTGCTGCGGTCACTTCGACCGGCTTGAAACCGCCGTAGTGGATGGTCACCATCGTTGGGGATCTCAGGCCATAGACGTGTTTGCCATGGCTCTACGTCTTCGCTCCTTTGAAATGTCGATAAACGCCCCCTTTTTACTCCCAGTCAATGTTGTCGAGCTCTTTGACTACTCGCCATTCGATGCAGATACACATACCACCCTCCATAATCTTGTCAATATCGGACATCTCACGATTTCGTGCAGCTCGTATTCGAGCAGACTACCCCGAATCTGCCTCCCGAGGGTCCCCGAGCTCGAATTGAGGACGGATCGACAGGCTGTGGGCGTCCCGTTCCTGACGTACAATCAATTTGATCTTCCATCTCTCACGCACCTTAATATCTGGTTCCTCTGTTCGCAACCGATAATCCACCGACAAGTACCTCAGCCAATGCGCTCGTCCACTGTAACCCACCTTGCTGTCAAATGGGCAATGTCGGGTTCTCAGGAGCTAGAAATTTCCTCATACAGTACACTGACGAACCTTCGGTGTCTTACCATCGAGGACTGCCCAAATATCAACCCCATCCTGGGTGCATTGTCCATCCGTCCAGGAAGGAACATGGTGTTTCCAAAGATGTCCAAACTCGATATTGAGTGCGAGTCAGGGGATGTCCTTGATATGCGTGTCCTGGTGGAGCTCGTCGAATCTCGAAGAGATCAAGGAGCTCTGCAAGAATTCCAAATCACGTGGCAACAGGGCCTTGTCAACGATGATGCCGATATTCGTAGCCGATGGCAACAACTCTGTGCGCCAGGGGGAGGAATACAAATCTCAGCATTGATCGAAGGTGAGATACATTTTTTTGTCCTGTTTACCTTCGACTGCAAGATTTTTAGGCTTTTAGAAGAACTAATTGTATGCAGATTAGAGAGAAGGTCTCTAGTGTTCTGGCTACAACAGTTCGAGTATCGTTGTCGATAATCAGGACTTCACCTTTTCTTATCTTGTAATTGCGATCTTCCTATGCTCAGTTATTTGTTCTATCTCTCAGTCACGTTTTAGCAAGAAATTCCAATTACTGGTCTGATGCTGAATTGTCCACAGAGACCCGAATTCTGTAGATCCTGGTGGTGTGATGTGCCGACGTCAAAATCATGTCCAAACACCATCACGGTTCATGCAGGATTGTTGATAATTAGAGTATCACCTCTGTTCTTGCTCGAAGATGCACATAGCTATGTATAAGTCAAGTTGTTCATCACACTATGTGTCAGAGACGGGAAAGGATTTCCTTTCCTCGACTATCGTCAAGTTGCCAGCATTGATCGATATGTTTAAAGGATCGGGAATAAGGTGAGGCTACGTGCGTCGGCTAAGTACGTACAAGCACTGACCGCCCACCCTATCCAAGAAACCGGGAACTTCATCTCAGACTCAACTTCACAGACCACTCCGTCGTCAGGCTGTGTGCCATTTTGAAAGTAAGTTTGAACATATTGTACATTCAAGGCGAAGTGACCAAGGATGTGTGCTGTAGGAGCGAGATAGTGGAACAATGGAGGAAGCCCCGTTACAAATATTTACTGACCCCCGTCGAGTTTTGAGTCAGCTCGGGAATGGGTGCGATGTCTTGTTGGCTTTGAGGGAATATCAATGAAATGAGATTGCATTGCATTGCGTGGCTGGGTAAAACTGACGAGGCGAAAGGAGCATGGGGATCTGAAGATACATTAATAATGATAGGCAAGGAGGGTTCGAGACAGATGTACACACTGGCCGTGTTTCCGATGAAAAGAATGGGATAACTAGTATTTTCGATGATTGGACCTTGGAGGGTACCGATCAGAGCAAGCAGCGGGTAGTGTGCAAGCAGTAGCTGAACTTTAGATACGCCTTCACAATAGAGCCTTCATCCGCTGAAAGAAAATAAATAATTGGCACATGCTTGTCATAGAGGAAACACACACGAGCAGCACATTTTTTGAGGAGATAGTAAATCAGCAAAAGCGGATAGACCCTTGATAGTATCCCAGTATGCGTACCAATCCACCACAGAGTCCATAATAGTATAATGGTGTTCTTGACTGCGGTTCTAAGATGGTATAGTCCA